GGTCTTGCCACGACGTCCCCGCATGCTCTAACTGGCAAGACCCATGCCAGCTTCACCGAACAGCAGAGGCCCTGCCGGGAATGCCGCTCCGGCTGTACCCTGCCTTCCATGTTCCTGCTGCTGCCTGTGGCCCAGGGAGCGAGACGCACCGTGTCCATGGCAGTGCAGGACCACGGAAGAACTGTGGAGTTGTTGGCAAAGGGTGTGGCTCCAGTGAAACCAAAGAAATGCTCATTTCCCTCCTCATTTTTTTCACTCGGGCCTTAGTAGCCCCGGAGCTAGTTTCACAGGTGATGCTGTCCATCTGGGTATGTCTTAGGGTGCCTAAAACCTTCAAAAAATGGCGTATGTGTAGGCATATCATCAACATAGCATCAAGCTCCTGTCTAGGGAGTAGGTAAATTGGTTAGAAAGCAGTATGTAAAGTTACGACTGAGCCAGATCAAAGAAAAGGAAATTCTTGTCTCAGCTTGACTGCTCTCTGCGCCATGAGCTGTGTGGATGCCCCGTGTTCCCTGTGAGCTTGGGCCCCGGCCGGTGGTGGGTGGACAGGGCAGTGGGATGGGCGCTGGCAGAGATCCTCTGGCCATTCCGTGCTGCTCCCGGAAGCACGGCAAGCCTGCACACGTGGAGTTTGTAGGGTCAGTCTTGGTGTTTCCTCTCCCTTCCAAGAAGGAGGAAAAGGAAAACTTGCATGCAGGGCTGTAGTGTTGTTTCTGAAGCGAATTTTAAATCCTGGGTTTTCACTCACTGATGGCTGGGCTGTGATTTGAACTACCAAGGGTGGTTGTTTTTTTCCTAGTTTTTAAGGCATTTTTACAGACTTTTTGTATGAAGGAAGACGTTGCAATGGCAGGACGTACAGGACGTAAGATTACAATACATGAGTATAGAACCCAGATGTATGTGCAATATATAAGCCCTTCCAAGCATAGGAATGGATACAATTTGCTGCCGCCATCTCCATGTTGTTGCAAGAAATCCTAGGTAGATGTTGCATGTTCTAGGAGAGAGGTATATACCAGAAGATTATAAATAGTTTGTTTCAAAGAGAACTGAAACTATTTGCCTGTATCTAGCAGATGGCCGATGTTAGACATAGGTACAGTAGTGCAAGAATAAAAGTCGAGGGAGGAGATTGTGCAGAGTTTTGATGTAACCCTTGAAATCTTTGATTGCTGCGGTTTGGTGTTGTCTTTACAGAAGAATATGCTTGAGGGAGAGGAGACCGGGCTGTATTTCATGGCTTTACAGAAGTGCAGGGTCCTGCATTGTACTTGGGGAGTGCCGTCAGGGCAGGCTGCTGCCAGACAGAACTGGTTTTCCCCTTCAGTCTTCTGCTGCAGAGAGCTCCTGTCAGGAGAATGCGTTATATAAACCCATCTGCTTTACACATCAGCAGTAGGAGGAGAAAGGAAATGATGTGGAAGTTTAGTCTTTAATATAGCACAGTTCTCAGAGAGGCCAAGGTCGTTTGGTGTTTAAACACAAGATAGTATGAGAGAAGTTGGAGAAGACATAGTTGTTCACTATTGACGGATTTTTATCTGCTGTTATGATGTTAAACCTTTCAAGGGCTTTCACCTTACCAGCCATCAACACCAAACAGGCAAACTCACATGTAGGTGCACACGCAAACCAACTGTACAGCGAATATGAACTGTTACTTTGAAGTTGTGAGTTTTACTCCTCTCGTTCAAGGGGTTTGCGTTGGGCCCTGCTCGCCCTTGGTTAGGACGGATCAGATTAGAAACTGGTCTAATGTGAAGACCTCGGCCCATTTTGTTTTATCAGCGGATCTTCAAGTGGCTGGCGCAGCTAGAAGTATAAGAGAATAGCTTCAGGTGACACCCTGAGCACTGCCCAACTGCAGCGGAGGAGCAGGTATAAAGCACTTCCACTGCAGAGGGGTGGGATCTGTCTCTGTCAAACATATAGCAGTGGAGACCTCCTGGCCCTCTGGAAAGTTCCCCTGGCCATTTCTGATGCCTCTCCTTAGACTAACAACTGAAGATAGTCAATTGCAAATATGAGTTTGGTGATTTGGTTGGAATGTGTCAAAGGAAATGAATTCTGTCATGAGAGGGGGAGGAGAACTTTCCCATGCACTCCTTCCAGATTTCTGAAGTTCATTTATGGTGATACAGAAAAAGCTTTCTATGTGGAGAAACTCAGAATGAATGACAGCTAAGATGTAATGAAAATGAGGTTGATAACTCAGTGTAATGGCTGGTGTCCTGCTGCAATACGTATGGTAGTACTACCTGCTCCCGTGCTCTTTCGTTCATTTCTTGTTGCATATATGTGCACT